TAGAAAACAAATGACTATTATGTTTAACATACGAGTATTTAGATTTTTACAGCTATGGTGAGAAACGTTTAAAATCTACAACAGCCCTGTCGCGTCCTTTCAGATATACTAATGATGCGACAAAAGAGGTATTTGAATTGACCGGTATCGGCACCCTGGGGATTTGGCAGTGCGTGCATACACACAGACTGCCAAATCCCCATGGTGCCGTCTCTGATTCTATCCATTAGCCACTCGTAGGGAGCTGTTTAACTAAGTGGATTGTTTTAAGATTTAAAAAGTAAAGAATATTTTATGTTATTTTTATGTACGTTTCTTTACAAAGCTATATTTAATTATAATTTTCTTTAAAAGTATATTCATACAATTGAAGAATATTTTGTACCAGGTATGTACTGTACATCCACCATACATTTTATTTCGCCAAGTAAGTTATTATTATTTTATTCTTAATTGTAGCCCTTATATCGTGGCTAGCGATTCGGAATGTAATTGTGATATTAAAAATACATTTAGAGAAGTCTATGGTTTTTATTGGCTTATCAAACAAACGAATATGAATGGACCCTAGACCATCACTGACGTGCAATTAACTGATTGCCCCTGGAAGTCGGTTTCTTACAGAAACACAGCTTCCCTATCATCAAATGTCGTGGCATGCCATTTCTCTACACTTCTCTATACTTCTCACTACACTCTAACATCTCCCATATACACCTGCTGATTGGCATTTTTCAGTTTTTCAAAAGCACTCATAACCTCAATAGCAAGAATACATCTACCATCCTCAATGATGTTCCATACTTTATCTGCTTTTACATTTATTTGTGCACTGCTCTTTGCCAAAAATGCTTTGAATGTTCTCAAATTATGTCATCTGTCACTTACCTCATGCTCATCTCATAATAGTTTACCATTTACATCTCTGACACAAGGTATATCTTTATTTTTTTCTAAATGCATATGCCTAATTTTTTTTTAGAATACAGTAGACCCCCATAAAACGGGTTCATATAATATGGATTCGTATAATATGGCAAAAAAATTGCGATTGTATTTGTATAAACACACTAAAAGAGAGTCGTATAATAAGGTAAAACGTCATTGCTGATTTGTGTCGCGACAGGATTGGTCGAATCTAGACCAATAGTGGATATTGCATTGAGTTTAAACGAGCAGTGGACCTACTAAAAACCATTTATTATTTAATGGTCATAAAAATTATATTTATATTAATGATTTTTCCAAAGTTTAGCAAATTTTTTGCAGAAAAATAACTTATCAGGAAACATGCGCCTGCCGTTCGATGCACCGCTCTGCGACGAAAACAAGCTTAAGCAATGGCGTCGTCGAACGGTGCATACAGTACTTGGTAAGTAATCCTACAATTTTTTGTTTATATGGAATTATTTCCAAAGGATAGTTTATATGGATTATTTCCAAAAAATTATACGTGTTCTGGAAATGTTGAGTCAAATTAGTCTAGAATCAATTAATTTTATGGAAGAAAACCTTTCAAACAACCATAGACCCTAAACTGCATACATGCCGGGCTGTGATTGGCTTATGTATTTAAGTGATCATAAAACACGGAATTCATATAAAATGGAACATATCTACCATATTATAGGGGGGTCTATTGTAGTTTCATACTCTCCTCAAATAATCTGTATAATCTTCGGATTCATTTTTTATCTGCTCTTAATCTTTCTGACATCTCATATTTTATTGACATAAAAATGTACTGTACTGTCCATGCTTAATGATAGCACATTAACTATTGAAAACATTAGCATTATTTAAACTTCAATCATTGTTAAAAATGCTTTGATTAACTGAGCTTGCTTTCTGTTTAGTTGCAATAACAACAGTCATTAAAGTCAGTGATATTTTGTTTAAGCTTCTTTGAACCAATTACTTTTGAAGAAAATCTACAGAATTTCAAATATTTTTAGTGATTATATTATTTTCAAGCATTTTGAAATTAACTGAATAAATTTGAGAATTTAATGTTTAATAGAAATACTTTTCTATTAGAAAAACTTTAACTGAAATTAGAATTGACGAGAATTTGTGAAATTAGAATTTGTGAGCACTAAAATTGGCCTTTCTTTATTGCTAGACTTATTACACCATCACAGGACATCAGATTAGCCTTAGAAAATCACTTTATTATTTCAAGAAGAATGCATTTCGGACTTGAAGTTCCTCATCAGCTTGTTATACAATAAATAATTAAGAAAATTGATGTTAGCACATTTACAAACAGTACCATAGAATTAAGACAATTGGTAAAACAACTGTGATAAAATACTGATTACAAATCAGAATTACTGGGTGTTTGATTTAATTTGTTGATTCAATGCTTAGAACATTAAAATTAAACACACAATAAAACAAAAAATTGTACATAATAAAAGACACTGCCAAACCAATAAAATAGGATAATAAATTGAGGCAAAGTAATACATAAATTTAATGTTAAAACAATAAAATAATAAGCAGATTCACTGTGATATGAACAAAATGACAAGATGATTCGAAGTACATTCCAGAATAGTCACCACCTTCTCTCCTATCCATTTACACACTCCTTGCATTCTTCTTGAAATAATTAAGTGATTTTCTAAGGCTAATCTGATATCCTGTGGTGGTGTAATAAGTCTAGCAATAAAGAAAAGCCAATTTTAGTGCTCACAAGTCAATACAAAGACTAGGAAAGACACGTATCATAGTATTTAGTGAAATTAGAATATTTTTATAATTAATTTAAAGCCTAATTTATGAAATATAATTATAATTAAAAATATTTGATATAAAATGTACCTTGTTCTTATTATATTTTATTATAATTTTTGTCAGATTTTCTCATTGTTATTGTTTAATTTGGTTATTAAATGAAGCATATATAAGTTTATTACATTGAATAATAATGATAAATGAATTAGTCAAATATTTTATTCTTAAATTTGTAAATAATTTATGTAATTTAAAAAAGAAAAATAGAAAAAAATTATATAAAAATGAAATTAGTGTTATGGGTGGCACTAATCCATGTTAAAATTGATTTTATAATTATTAAATATTAATCAATTATTTTATTAATCTTGATATTTATTTTTTAATAGATGCCTAAATGTATCAGTGATTCCTGAAATGTATCAGTAATTTGAAACTTATGAAGATATTTGAAGCTTACTTTTATTTTATTACATCTAATTTAAAATGTGTATATATATATATTCTTGCTAAGATGATATTTTCAAATGGATCTATTGAACGTGACTACACTGAATTTGAATTTCTGTTGAAGAAAATTTGCTCCAATCTAGCGTTTCTGAAAATGTAAATGTGTATTAATTATTGTACATATTTTATTATAATTAGGGGATAATACAATTAACAGTAATTTTGTATCAATCATTTTGATATGTATTTTTAAAAATTTATGTAATATAGAATTAAAATTTTTAATAACTTTCAAAAAAATAATAACCATGACACATTTACTTTTTAGGTTACCATCGAGAAACTCGATACTCCTGTCATTTTTGTGGAAAATGCTTTCGAAAAATGCAAAATTTAAAGCAGCATTACATTGTACATTCTTCCAGAGATCATGTATGCCCATTATGTTCCAAAGCATATAAATCACGAGCTGTATTAAATTTACATCTCCAGGTTCATGCACCTGATAGCTTCCAGTGTGATTATTGTGACAAAACATTTAGGTGGAGATGGAGTTGGAAGATGCATATAAAAAAGATGCATTCTTAAGTTAGTCTAACTTTATGATTGGTTTGTAGATTCATATGTTGTATATTGAGCAATATTGATTTATATGTTCATTGCTATTATTTACATTATAAAGTATTTTTATTATAATTGATTATATTAAAATTCAATATTTTAAAATATTTTTGGCTTTTTACAGGCTATTTTAAGAAAGGATATCATATATGTCATCTTTGTGGTAAGCATTTCAAGAAGTTGCAATATTTAAAGCAGCATTATGTTGTTCATTCTGCCAGGCAACATGTGTGTCCATTGTGTTCTAAGGCATACAAGTCTCGAGCTGTATTAAATGTACATTTACAAGCACATGCTCCTGATAATTTTCAATGTTGTTATTGTAAGAAAACTTTTCGGTGGAGGTGGAGTTGGAAGATGCATGTGAAAAGATGTTCTAAAGAAATAATTTCTACAAATTTAAATTAAGATAAGAATCTCTTACATTTTTTTTTTGACATTTTCCTTTTTTTCATAGTTGTAACATGAAAAATTACAGAATTTTATTGAAAACATGATTTTAAATTAGAACAATATTAGAAAGAACACACATATATCATCTGCTAATAGACAAGTTTTTCATCTGGAGACTTCATATTCTTTTCAAAGAAAAATGTTCAACTTTGTACAGTGAACTGCAAGATTTTGCCCTGTTCCAATTGTGGTAATGTGTTTTTGAGCTTTTATTCTAACAAAGTATGCATTATTTGCAGCATATAGCAATTTTTACAAATTCATTAAAAGATTAAGAAGTTTAAATTCTGATTTTATAGTTTTATAATTTAAAATTAATTTATAAACTTTATCACTATTTAATGAAATATTAAATTTTAGTTTATTCTTATTTTTTAGGTTATGATAAGAAATCACACTACGCATGTCAGATTTGTGGTAAACGTTTTCAGAAATGGAAGTATTTAAAACAACATTTCATTGTTCATTCAGGAAGAAATTACATCTGTTCAATATGTTCTAAAGCATACAAGTCTCGTGCTGTTTTAAATCAACATCTTCGAATGCACGCCCCTGATAATTTTTGTTGTGCACATTGTGGTGAAACTTTTAGGTGGCGTTGCAGTTGGAGAATTCATATGAGAAAAATGCATCAATAAAACAGAATTTAATAGAAAATGCCAAAGTACCAATTTAGTGAAAGTATTTGTGATTTGCTAAAAATTTGTATATCAGAAAAATTTGCTACATTATCATTACAGCTGAGAGACATTTTAGTATTTTTGGATTATTAGTCATGTAAAAAAAAACTAATATATAACTTTTTGTGAATTTGTGAATGTGTGATGATTTTATTGGAAGTGTAATTATTTAATTTAAATTTTTTATTAATTCATCATTTTGTATTTCATCTCATTATATAAATATTGTATGAAATTCATAAATTCATCAAACATATAATTTAATGACTGTATAATTTATACAATATTATTTAATATAGTATTGAAAATTAATAAAAAAATACTTTTTATATAAATTTTAATAAATAATTTATCAATTACTATTAGAATTTCACTTAAAACTTTTATTTCAAAATGATTATTTTAAACAAATATATATTTTAAAAGATTATTCAAATATTTTAAGAATTAAATAATATATTACTGACTAAATGTATTTTATGATTTAATGCAAATCATTCAATTAATAAAAATTACAAGAAAAAATCATAGCAGGTAAGTTTTAATTATATTCAGTATATTTCTTTATAAAAAACAAAAGTATTAAAATATATAACTTATTATACTCTTATTATTTGAATTTTAGTTGAAAAATATAAAATAATTTAATAAAATTGCATTATATAATAAATATAGATATAATAATTATAAAATAATAAAATTTAAAATATTTTAACAATTTATGATTTTTTTTATTTATTTATAATTTTCAGTTCTCTTACATTAGAAGTAACTGTGAAATAAATTTATAAACGAGATTTGAAGCTGACTATGAAAAGTTTTCAGTATGTAATTTAACATAGCCTGAGAATTCAAAAAATTTATTAAATTTATAATGTTCAAACTTGCTATATTTGTTACTGTTTTTTTACTATATTATTTATTTGTAAAGATACTTCTTATATTAATTAATTGCAGTATCATTGAATTTATTAATATTTTATAAGTAAATATTTTGATTTTCAATTGAACATATTTTTACTTTTTTTAAATAGAGAAATCAATACATTTTTTTCTGTCTGTGAAAAGCTAAACAAATAGCGAGGTTGAAGCTGAAGTTTTAAACGTGAAAATGTGTACGTCGGACATTCAGCGCCGCTTTCCCATAAGCCTAGAAGTTTGACAATGGTGTTTGGAATGTCGAGCATGATTCCACTGACTATCCAAACACCATTGTCAAACTTCTAGGCTTATGGGAAAGTGGTGCTGAACGTCCGATGTACATGTTTTCGTATTTAAAACTTCAGCCTCAACCTCAATAATTGCTTGTACATTATGAAAAGTGTTAATATTTTGAAATTAAATAAATGATGACAGCTTCTGAAGCAAAATATTGAGTTTATTCTTATCATTATCAATAAAAAGTGCTTTGTTCATCATTTAAATTAGTATATTTTTTAATCATTAAAGCATACAATTTACAGTAATTAGAAAAAAATACTCAAAGTGATATATCTACAATAAAAATATTTTATAACAGAATATAAAATATTAATTTTAGTGTTGAGAAAATATAAAATTTATTTCTTATTAATAGTATTTTATGTTGTTTATTAACTTAATTTTTATATTTATCTTTTAAATTAATTATTTTAATGTTACTAATAATTTTAGGATTGGGATTTATTATTAATGACTTATAAATAATCATCTTATTTTATAATTTGAAAAATGTTCTTAAGCACTTTTGAGAGACAAATCTCTCAAAAATATCAGATTTTCTTTCACTTTTGAGAGATAATCTCTCAAAAATGTTTCTATCCTTGAAATGCTAATTAATAAAAAGTTGCAAAATACTTGAGTCCCTCAGAAATGTTTAACAACTTAAAATTTCTATTAATTAGCATTCCAAGGATAGAATACTCAGTTTAAAAATATTAAAAAACTCTATTAAATCTTTTTGACTCTACAAAGGCTCAAATGAATAACTTCAATACTATTCCAGCAAAAAGTTTTTTACTGCTAATGTTTCTGATTATATTGAGTGATAATCATTGAGTGATTCTTTGAGCTATAATCATATGCCTACAAATATAGTAGTATAAATACATGAAAAGAATATATAATGAATACAGTATAATGAATAAGTAAAAAAACATATTCAAAAATACAAACTTATTGAACAAAAAAAATGTAAGTTAAAAAGACATATTACAAAATTTAAAGAGTGTTGAATTACTACACTTAAACAGCAAAGTAAAACTAAAATACAAATTATGAATTAAAAGTGAAATAAAAAAAATGTTAGCAATAAAAAACTTTTTGGTAGAATTATAAGGTGTTGAAAGTTATTATTTGAACTTTTATTCAATTTTTCATTGTTTATGTTTTCTTCCAAAGGCTGTAATTCTTAATATTTCAAAAAACTGGATATAATTACAAATATTGACTCCAAAAAATCGTAAAATCTAGTAAAAACATATCTAAATTATTTTAAAATTTGCTTTCTGTTTAATTTATTACGTTCCATTCTAGAACCTGAAGATGGCCATTAAATATGGTTGAAAACAATCCTTCTCATTAAAGAACATTTTTTTTTACTGGATTTTATGATTTTTGGAGTTAATATCTTAATATTTCTTCAATTCATAAGCATTTTTTCTTGAATAGCACACTTGTTTATATTTTTATGTGTACTGTAGTTCATCATTAAGTAAGAGAATATAAACAAATTTTTTTATTGTTTTTTGGTTATCCTCATCCAATTTCTACATTTATTATTTATTTCTTTGGATACTGCACCTGTATTAAACAACACTGTGAAAATGTTAAAAATTCAGTAATAATTATAATCTTCTAACATTTTCAGTTATTTTTGTTGATCTTCAGGAAAAATATAATTTGAATGTTGGTTTCATTCAAATAGAACAGAAACTTAAACAAATTCTAGAATAGATGTTTAAATATTAACATTCTAGAACAAATATTTAAATGAGAAAATGCCAGACTCTTATGTAATAAATAAGTGAAAAATATACAAAAATCCAAAATGCAAAACTTATAAATACAAAATGAATACTAAAAATGATAAAACTTATAAATACAAAATGATAAATACATGCAAGAATAAGTAAAAAAAAAAATATATATATATATATATATTTAGACTTCCAAATGATATTTTGTGAAAGTACAGAATGTACAAAGAGGATACAAAGAGGTGTACTTTCACAAAACATCATTTGGAAGTCTAAATATAAAAAAACTTTCCACCAATAGTGTGTTGTAGTCTATATAATTAATTGCTTACCCAATGGATATTGATTTGTAGATGTGAAATCCTCCATATATCTGATGTGTTATTTACTCTGCACTTTATGGATTATTCTGACCTGGTTTCAGTTGTATGAGATGAAATTAGGGTTGGAAATTAGCTGGGTTAGTCTTCTGGACATTGTCTTTGTGTTCTCTTAACCTTGTGCTCAGTGATCTATTGGTGGCTTTAATGTAGTATAAATCATGCATAATTCTATTATCCCTAATCAGTATCTTGTAACAACCAAAAAAGTTAGAAGATTAAAATTATTACTGCAATTTTAAAGTTTTCATAGTTTTGGAGAATATAGTGTGTATTTGAATCTGTTAATATGCATAAAATTAATCAGAAACTGTTATTTAATAAATTTTCAATTAAAATAAACATTTTAAATTATTATAACTTAACACTCAGAATAAAATAAATATAATTTTTAGATTTAAAATACATTATTATTGAATTTATTAAAAACTAGCAAATAAGCATGGTCCAGGCAAAAAATAAGAACAACAAACATTAAAATTGCATTGTTTGCAGATTGTTATTATGCGATATCTATAGTGTTGCCACCAGGACAGTTTTAAATTCATGGTCCAGATTAATTATGAATTTGTCCAGTTTTTGTAGAAATTGTGAAATTATGATGAAACAAAATAAATTTATAAAAATATTTGTGAGTATTTTATTTTAATGGTTAAAGGCTAACTTCACACTGTCATCCAAACTTATCCCCATCTTATCATTAGACTAAGAGTGACAGAAAATGTGCTTTTAAAATTCTAACTTGCAAATATTAGGTTTGTTCCTAACTGATTTAAAATTGGCATGCACATTGTTCAGTTTTTGGTTGTTAAATGTCATTGCGCATTCTTTGTATTTATATTATATATTGTATCAGATACAATGTATTTTTTGTAACTTAATATTATTCATGTTGATACTTTTATATATTAGTTTTGCAATTAATATTGACATTTGACTGTTATTAATTATTTTTGCGATTAATAATATATCATGTATGGTACATGTTTACCTTCTAATAAAAAAAATATTTATTTTCTACTCACAATAAAAAAAACCTATTTTTTTATTTCTAAGTATAACACTTTAATTTTAAAATGTCCCGGTCAGCAATTTTGAAATGGTGGCAACACTGGATATCTGCAGATTGGTGCAGTAGGCTACTGTACTGTACATGTTACACTCTTGGACGCTGTTTTCCTATTTTTCTTTTTTGGGCTATATACACACTTTTCTCTTGATAGTGATGTTGCCTGTGGTTGATCTGGTATCTTTCTCAACATTTCCTGGATTTTCATATGGAGATCCTCACTCATATTGCCTGCAAGGAAGGAGTCTACATTTACTTCCTCAGACTCCTTATCAAGCCATTTCAGAAACATTTCATTATGTTTTATGATAATACTGTACATATATACAGTATCACTTCACAAGTAGAATCATACTACTTCAATGCAAAAAAAGACACATACTTGTGGGTCAGCCCTGCACTAACTTGTCCAAAATGACTGAAACAAAGGTGGCACTGAATGTACTAGTGATGACTATTATTTCTGATTCTGTTAGATTGTTCGGAAAGTAAGTTCATTTATTTTACCACTAGATGGATTAGTCGCATTTTTCCTGCCATTTTCATTCTAAACCGTATTATCATTACTGTATATATTTTGATAGCTAGCATTTTAAGGCTTCTTTGTAAAAAATTTTGTTTGATTTCATGCAATTGTTTATTTTTTATGTCCCATCAAATATCGTAGATCAAAAGCAGCATTTTCGGCATATTTTGCTCTTTTATTACTGAAAACGTAAGAATGCTGTTCGAGCAAGAAAAAAGTTGTGTGACGTGTATGGAGAAGATGTG